CAGGACCTGAAAATATTTCGAAGCTCCTGATCTGTGACTTACACGACCAAGCGCCCAAACGTGCTGCGCTAGTTGCAACAACTCCGGGAAACTAAAACAAAGAAAAGTTTTCAGCAAAAAGACCAGCCTTCCGCGGTTCCACCAGCGCTACGTCCACTCTATACGAACAACAAGGGATCAATGAGACACCATTGATGATCGTAAGATAAGAATTATGCGGGTGATCTCAAGTCCACAAACGGGAATGAACGGCAACATTTCACTTGTTATGGCCAAGCACTCATTTCGGTGCTTCAGGCTTGGATTTTTCGAGCGAATGTAACGCTTCCAGTATCTTCCTGGCACCGATCTCATTCTCGTAGGCAAGGATTTTACATTCGGTGTCGAAATCGTTGCCTTGATGTAATTCTGGTCGGTGCCACCCAAGTGGTGTTAGTAGACTTCCACGCCTTTTTCCTGCTAGATGTTCTTTGACGCGTATGCCAAGCATCCTTCCCGTCTCACCAATATATATTCCGTCACAGACTGAACACTGAAGTTGATAAACCGTCCCTCGCTGTGTGCAATCTATGTCTTTTCCAAACGGACAAATGGCGCAGTTATCCGCAGAACATGCGCGGTCGTAAAGTCTATTGCGGGTCAGTTGACGTTTGATATTGTCTATTGGTATGTTTATCAAGACAACATCATCGGCCAAATCTGCGCGTGCTATGCAGCGCCTAATTTCTGCGCTTATTTTGTCCGATATGAAAGGAAGTCGAAGATCACCATATTCTCAGCATTTTTTTAGGAAATGCCTTTTCGAGCCTGATCCTCCGTGTTGTGCCCCATAACCATTCAACTCTGCAATCTCAGATTCTAGTTCACGTGACTCCTCCCGTTCCACTTCGCCTGTACAAGCTCCTGTCGCTGTTTTGTACATATTACGAATAACTGCACTTTTAACAGCTCCAGGGTGGGCAGACTTTGCGTGGAGTAATATGTTTTTTAAGCTAATTTCCGATACCACTTCACATTATACCTTCCACTCGGAATGTTTTTCTGCGTATTTAGAAAAGGAAGCCAGCCTTCATGCGGAACTTCTCTCGTGAACTTGATGTACTGTGACTGTCGGTTAAGAATGTCAAATAAATCATCCATCTCGTGCTGCGTTGATGTAATTACGCAGCATTCATCGATATACCGACAGTACAAAGTGGGCATGCGCGCTATAACTGGTCTTTCTATTCTGCTCATAAAACAGATAGCTAGAACTGGTGCTAGCCGCTGACCCATAGCAAGTCTTCGGTTTTGCGAGAAGTATTGTCCGCTCCACTTAAAAATATTACAAATCTGGCATTCCTTAATAAGAACTATAATGTGAACCTTGCTCAATCCGAACGTCACCACTTCTGCTTCATGCTCATCCAGCATTTCAGAAACTGCTTGGAGAGCTTCGCTGTTGTTCACGTTCTTATAGAGCGCGGTAACATCAAACGATTCTATTACGCAGTTCTCTTGAAGCCTACACAAACGCAAGCGATCGAGAAGTTCGTTAGCGTTAGGAAGATGAGAAGGTACGTATCGGAGGAGCTGACCAACAATTTTATTAAGGAACCAGGGAATGCGGTCCGTTGGTCCTCCCACACAGCTAATGATGGGTCTTATTTTGTAGTCACTAGCATTGACTGAGCTTTCACCTCCGTTGGACAACTTTTGAGTTTTGATCAGGCTAAAGAAAACTGGACACGAGGGAGTATCCAACTTCAATCTTTTAACCAGTCTTTTGTCCAACTTTGCTATCTTTCGTACAGATACCCATAACGCGTTCAGCCTGTGACATTGCGTGAGGTACGCCTTTTCCGTAGAGTCACTGTAAACAGTAGTATCACTGAGGCGGAGCTTCGTGATCTCCCGATCCAGAGAACAGGGTAGGACCACAAACTCTTCTCCCTTGTCGCTTACGGAAAGACGGATTTCACCGTCTGCTTCGCGTCTCCGTAATTCTCGCATCCCTTCCAGTTGTGCGTTCGTAACGTTTGAGAACCTCTCACGCATATGTCTTTTGAAAACTTCAAGAATTCCTGATGAGAGTACTCGAAATTCAACGTCTTGTACGAGAGAAGGTTCTGGTTCGCTATAGAACGAACGTGGGAAAGGAATAGGCGTCAACATAGAGTGCTCAGATACCGTAATATTACGCTGAGGCTCTCTGCGCAATGCACTCATTCTGAGCTGATCTCTTAGTTGGCAATCGAAAATGATGGCCCAAGATCAAGGAAATCCAAAGCCTTTTCTGACATTGGTGTCTTTCCAACAACAGTGACTCTCGCCTGAATTCGTGAGTTGTTCATTCCTGGAGTGGTTGTATCTTCATACCGGTGGGTCGTAGAAGAGGTGGCCCTAATACTGAAATCATGACCGTGTTCCTCGTTCCTCAGGGTGTTGTACTCTTCACACAGAGTTGTTATCCGATAATAACGTCTACAAGATTCCTCCTTCGCATTACATTTCGATAAAGTGGAATACAATATGTGTTGCTTCTGTTTGATAGCAACGCCTAGAAGGCTTCGGTAAATAATGGCAATTCTAGGGTGCTCTTCGCTCAAGTTACATATTGATCCCAACTTCTTATTCGTGATGAATCTTGGGAAGACGGCGGTCGACTTGCATCGCTGCAGAATTTTTAGCGATTGACGGGTAAATACGATCTTCTGTCGGAGGGCGAGAGCTTCACGAACTAAGCCGAACAAGTGCGGCAGTACACCGCGTAACAACTTCTATGTTCGGTCTTCTTGAAACCTTGGCATTTTACATAATGTTCAATACTTCTTTGCCGTTCAACGTTTCGACTGAATCGGCGTCCTCAGGACCTGAAAATAGTTCGAAGAATCTGATCTGCGACTTACCCGACCGAGTCGAAGTAGACAACTCGTCAAAGAACATATAGCAGGAAAAAGGCGTGGAAGTCTACTAACACCACTCGGGAGGCACCGACTAGAAGGACATCAAGGCAAGATTTCGACAACGAATGTAAAATCCTTGCCTAGAAGAATGAGATCGGTGCCAGGAAGATACTGGAAGCGTTACATTCGCTCGAAAAATCCAAGCCTGAAGCACCGAAATGAGTGCTTGGCCATAACAAGTGAACTCTTGCCGTTCATTCCCGTTTGTGGACTTGAGATCACCCGCATAATTCTTATCTTACGATCATCAATGGTGTCTCATTGATCCCTTGTTGTTCATATAGAGTGGACGTAGCGTTGGTGGAACCGCGGAAGGTTGGTTTTTTGCTGAAAACTTTTCCATGTTTTAGTTTCCCGGAGTTGTTGCAACTAGCAAAGCGCGTTTGGGCGCTTGGTCGTGTAAGTCACAGATCAGGAGCTTCGAACTATTTTCAGGTCCTGAAGACGACGATTTAGTCGAAACGTTGACCAGTAAAGCGGTTCAGCCATAACAAACCTGTACGGCAAAGCAGTATTAAACATTATGTAAAATGCCCAGGTTTCAAGAAGACCGAACATGGAAGTTCTCAGAAATCTTTTTACTGTGAAAATTGAAAAAGATAGCATTTAGCGTTAACCGACTTAGTCTTCGAGGTAATGCCAAATCTGATTTCCATTCAAAGTGACGCTTCAAACGTGTATATGGTTTATATATATGTAATATTTATATATTATATGTATATTATAATATATATATTATATATATATATATATATATATAAAGAGCTAACCTTGCGTGTTTGTTTGTATGCCCATTTGTGTGTCCTCCCAAAAGCCACGTAGGCGCGATCAAGAGTAGATCCCACGCTTACCAACTTTCTTGGAGAGGAGAGAATGTAGGGTAGGAAACGTTTCACATGGGGATCTGTTGGTATCAGGCATCATCGGTCACTCTGCTGACTGTTTTCCATTACATCTCTGATGCGCATTTAAATTATGTTTTGGGTCGTTAATCAATCCCGTCAGAAGGATCCCGCGCATTCGACTTCAATTCAGAATCGTAGTGGCGTATTGAATGCGTATGTGGCCTATGCAATGACTTGCGGTGATCTGTCGATGAACAAGTCAGTGCTTTTCTGCACCTCCTCCCGATGCGCAATTTCCTACAATCAAACTAGAGCGACATTTTCAATATAATCTAATGACAGTTACGCCACAATCAAACTAGAGCGACATTTTCAATATAATCTAATGATAACTACGCTCTCAAAAGGATATTTTGCTCTTTAGAGCTTAACTCTAATGCGCGATTACCAGAAATGAAACTAAAGGGGATTTCGGGTGAAGCAGTGTCGTTTATACGGAACATGATAATGTTTTGCTGTTCTTCTCGAGTAAGATCGTAGATGAGCGGTTGTGGACATGTGGTGCACGCATGAGAATGCGTAGCTCACTGGTGGTTTATATAGTGACTCGCGGTGACCATCCGATGTGCAGGTTAGTACTTATATCTATCACTCGAGTTTGGAAACTATTAACAGACATTTAAGGGATGAAAAGTTGGTTCACTCAGGAGAATATGGACCGAGATTCAAATGGGGGACCATGCGCGTGCATTAGTGCGCCACTTGCCACTACACAACCTCTGCCCCATTGTGAGCAAGATTATACAAGCATGAAGACAAAAAAATTGAAGTGATATTGCATGTGCAGGTAGGAAATTTGTCACCAAAAGCTTAAAAGGTTTGTAGAATGCGATAGAATCAACATAAAAGGAAATTTTAGGCGACAGTGAAACAATTCCATATAGCACAAAAATTCCGCTCCCCAAAAAACCCACCCCGTAGTTAAGGTCACACAAAACGTCATCCTTACCGCTGCTCCACGCCACCACTGAGTAACCTGGTACATCCATGTAATTTGTATTCGCTTACGTTAAAGCCTTTTGAAACCACCTTTATAACCCCATTCATTCGGCAAATTCACAAAGCAGGTTTGAGATTAGCATTCAAAAACACCTCTAAAGTTCTCCTTACGGCCACTTGGACTTGGGATCTTTCCCTGGTAATCACCATTATGAGCTCGCACAGCCGGCTACCTCTCCTTGCGTTCGAGCATTTGATTATTTAAAGGAGCGCTGTCCCTACCCATAACTACATTTTCACCGAATTTATCTGAGATTTCCGCTTTGAAGAAGATTTCAAGAAAAATAGAAGATCACCACATAGTTATTATGATCAAGTGACCTGGTAAATTCGATGAATCCATGCGATATCGAACAGGTCAGGTCACGTGTCTTCATATGGGAGCAGTGTGAATTTCCGGTATCCTGGAACCTAATCTGTTTGGTTCACACTTTTTTCATTTCTTACACTCTCAAAGTATGATGCTGAACTTTCCATCCAAATCTCACGTCTTTGAAAGTCTGGAGGCATCACCGCAAGAATTTCAAAAACGATGTCGAAAAGGAATTCACTACTGAACTCTTCTTGCTTGTCGCTTATATAAAAAATAGCAAAGGTTATGCGTGTTTCAAAAAATTAGGTTAGTTTTTCAGAGCAAATTTGTTCTAAGTCATCATCTGAGTTCTGAACAGTATAGCATTCCGTAAATTTTATGTGAACTTATGGGTTGTAAAGTCACTCCTAACTTATTTTTTGGAAGTCTAACCCGAACATTGCAGTGGAATACCAGAGATGCTAATAATGTTTTGTGTTCTATCTATCACTCTTCTGTTGAAGACATCCAGCGATCCAGTCTACGTTGACGATCTAGCCGAATTGGTGGATGACAAGACTGATATTTGGGATCTTGAAGAGCTCGAAAACAACAATAACGTCGCGAGGTGCCTTTGTTCTACTACTTTCTTCGTTTTCTTTGATCTCTTTGACGATCACCTGTATTTTGCGTGATATTTTTTATTGGAAACGAATCCTGGAAATTATCATCTCGCAAAGTCCTGATCGTGATTTGTCCAGTTTGGCTATTCGCTGTTAAGTAAGCCAAGTACTCGACAGTCACGAAAGTTGTAGTCACTAAATCACCACCTACGAGCCAATTAATTTCCTCGGGACGGATTTAGGCGCCCCGTTAATGTGTTACACAGTAACCCGAGCTGTCACTCAAGCGCGCTGTTTGCATGAGAGCGCGAGCGGTGAAGCCCTCCAAGCTGCCTCTCCCTACATTAATTTTAGGGAAAGTAACTCAAAACATGTGGAGGGGTGGATTTGAGCTTCAAGAAGCGAGCTTGAACTTCAGTACTACTTATATTTTTGCTGGTATAAGCAAATGATAGAACCGGTCAATCGACAATCAAAACCCCAACATTAAAGGCAAAGTAAGTTACAGTGAAGAGATCGATAACAAAGGCTTTTAGTAAATGGAATAATATTAAAACAACATCTTACATTAAACAACGTCAGCCCCTCGCTATGCTGTTCATTGAGGCGAGACAGAGATTGTTTTAGAAGCTTCGATTCCGACGAGAAGGAAGTCTAGAAGAGTCAGTCCAAGGGGTCTTACAGTTCGCTCTAATGCAGACCGCGCACCTGAGTGACAGCTCAGTTTACATAACACATTCACGGGACGTTTGAATCCGTCTTATTTAATTTTCAAACTGTCAAATAAAGAGCTTCCTATGTATTAATAAAGAATTGTAAAATCACATCACCGGAATCTATCTCAGAAACGCTGTTAAATGGTTCAAAAATCACTTCATCAACAAATCTTTTCCCTTTGAACTCACAGCTCTCCGTAGATTTTCTCTCTTGTATCTCATTTACTCTCTCCCAACTAGTCATCTGCCCTAGGTAACGAAAAAAAAGTATTGAGACCCTCTACCTAGACTGATATTCGACATGGATCTCATATTTAAGAAGATCGATCGAACGTGCCTATGACCTAGATCACTCCACTAAGCTAGACCACTTTGCAAGAGCAGTGTTCTTCCTAGCGAAAGTTGTTGCATACACTAATTGTTTGTGGAGACCCTAGCTATATTAGGACGTCAAAATGTCTGATTACTGGTAGAATGAGGCTCCGAGAAGGTGGTAAATAAAAAATTTACTCACGCTTCAAGTGAAGGCTAGAATTTAAGTAACTATTCCCTTTGTTCGAATTGCAGACGTGTACTTAGAAAATATTAATTCAGGATTCGCAGATAGGGAATGCAGCTGTATTCAAGTATATGAATTGTAAAAAAAATGCGCTTTGGCATTACCAGCAACTACGCCAATATCGAGGTAACCCAAGGTAGGGTGCGTGTCGTTTGCCCTGGAGGCGGTCGTTTGGCGCGATGGGCGGGGTCGCGCCGCCCATTGAAGGCGGTTCGCTGGGTGAACAACTCGTTCACATCGGGCAACCCTTTGGCTGTCCTCTCCAGCTGATAGAAGCGCGATCAATGGCGTCGCTACTATTAGACGGCGAATTGCGGATCTGCTTGTATTCTGCCCACATACATCATCCATTTGCGCTTTTGCGTGATTTTTTATTGCTTCTTGACTCCTTTCTTCATGGATACTGTTCGAAAACACCAATCGCGCCGCGCTCATCGCGCCAAACGACATACACCCTCTGCCCTGCCCTTAGCAGCCGACGACGCAACCTCTGCATGGGGCAATTCGTCCAAACCAGTCGGCCTCTTGACTTAGGGGATCATAATATTGGTGCGTTCGGAGACACACGCGGCAATTTGCGCGGCGAATCAATGCTCACATAACTTTCTTGTAACGAACGAATCGATGTGCTCACTAAAGAGCAGCTTCAACTCGGGGATCAGTCGACGTTTTGTGTACATGCTTTGCGTCTTACAACGTCAGCTATTGGTTTTACTAGATTTGCTTCGAACCTAGATGCCAGACGAACTCGATCAAGTGTGAAGACTAGATCATAAAGAGTCATGAGTTATTTAAAAGTGCCATACCTCTTATTCAAAATAGGGATTGACGCTGATGGGGCTATGCAAGTCAAAATGGTAGCAGGGGTCAATTTTTGGCGTATCAGAATATAGGCTGATTAGGCCTATGTCTGATGTGTAGCAGTATACTATATTGTACAAAGGGGTTACACAAATAGTTTAATAGCATTAGACATATTGTATAAAAAGTAAATGGGGGATTGGGACCCTCCGGCTTACGCCGAGGCGATGGGCTGTACGAGGAGTGGTGGAGTAGCGACAGAAGCAGCAGCAGACGGGTTGTTTACAGCTTGCACATTATATAGTGGTCCAGTGTAGTGTGACAGGTGGCCTCATATGGCGAGGATATGACATCTCCATTTCTACAGTAAGCTAGTCTTCAAGCTTCGAATGATGAGCACTACCGCCGTATATCATGGAGGAGTGAAATGGAGTTTGATGAGAAAATGGATCGAGTGAGTTCGTATCGTACCTAGTACATTGGCTGAGTTGAAATGCGAATAAGGCAGATGGTTAACGTTATTATATAGAACAGCTGGGAAGTACAAAAAGGTGGCTGTCCCTCATGAAAGCTTTCGCCATACCTTCGAAAAGAGGGCTCGACGTCGAGTCGAAATAGAAAGAGAAAAGGAGTGGTGGCAGGATAAGTGTAGTGTTGTTCGAAATGTCAACATGTGTATGACATTTAAATAAATTTGCTGCAATGGTGATTGGTTTACTATAGATTATTGTTATACACTGTGATAATCACTACTATTCTAATAATAACATAATAAAGCTATTCCCATGAGTTAGACAATTTTCTTCGTTTGATTGGGATAGTATCACAGTGGAGTATGGCAGTATGTTAAACTTATGACATTTTAAGTAGGATTATTATGGGATGCTCAATGTCTATGACATTTTTAGTCTTGGTAAGTTATGTTAAAATTTGATTGCTCGTGTGGCGCTAGGGCACTGAGAATTTCATCGATTTTGGCTATCAAAGGATTATAAAATGAGCATTAGTCCCTGTGTTCGTGAGGTTCCACATTCTTTCTGCTTCATAAACCAGTCGTTCATAGTCAAAGAAGTTTCAGCCTTTGTTTAATTGGATTGGACAGGGCGTTAGTAAAAATCATGTTTTAAAGGAATTTACTTCCACCAACCAAGTTAGAGCCATGGTATAAGTACAAGATCTCTTTCCGTATTCCATTTGAGAATACGACTGGTGATTCGTCAGGATCCATTCGCAATTCCATAAGTTCCTCTCTAGCCATGTCAAGTAAATGGTCAGTAGAGAATTGCTCTTTTAACATGGCTATTGCCGTGCACCAATCACGTCTGTCTTACTCGGGGAAGTTCTAGAAGACTGCTTTTGCGACTCATGTCAGATGTACTGAAAGAAGGCGCACCGTTTAGATGCTGCTCCCTATTCCCTATTTCATTGAACTTCTCTGATGAGCGTCAATCCTGTGCACCACCTTTGTCTCTTGAGAAAACGGGGAGCCTAGCTGCGTATGACGATAAGCAAAGTTTGTCAAAAATGGAATCGAGCCCATCGGCAATATTGCGTTCAGCAGTGTCTATATTATCGTTATGTTAGACTTTATATTGCAGCCTAGATTCGATAGGTTGGCTGTGAGGACGTGGATTGCAAACTAGAAAGTAGTCGTTACCATAAAGTGGAGTATCTATGCCTCGTTGACTCTTTTATGGTTGGTGTCGGTGGGCTATATGTTTTTAAATGTGAAGGTAGAATAGAATAATTCCCAGAGTACCCTGTTAGTGGATTAATGGAAAGAGACTCACGCAAGTGTTGAAGTTGTAAGGCGCTATATGTAGTAGAGCTCGGTAAGTTAGAAGCGGATGGTGGTCGAATGGGACGGAGCCAGAAGGTACGGGGTCAGATCCACATTGTAACACGGCTCGTGATCCATTGTAATATTACATTTCCTGCTATAGGTCACTTGGGATACATTGGCTTATTGTAGGGAATAGTAGGATGTTATTCACCTAGTGACAGCCATGGGCACTGAAATGTGCTGTCACAACTTAAAAAATTATTACTCAGCTAGCCTTCAACTTGTTCTCAATAGTAGCTTTCAAGATCGCCGCAAAGTTATCATGGTCTTTTTTTCCGGGTGCACGAGTTAACCGTGTCTGCACCATCATTTTTACCCTTTTATCGCTGAAGAGCAGAACCGAACAGATGTATCTGATGAATCTGTATCTTTTTCTGAGATTTGGGCTACACAGAAGGAGCTTGTTACCTCTCAAAGCTATGCTACCTTTTAGAAGTCCAGCAGCCAGTTTTCAGTGGTTTCGAATTAACGTTAAACAGAAGATGGGACGTAGTAGTTAAGGTCATATGTTCTACTACCTAAAAAATACCTGGTATCTTTGCCCGGGCGTAGGTTGTGTAGTGGCATGTGGCGCAGTATATCACTCGCACGGTCAGGGATTCGGATCTCGGATCGATGTCCGCCCAGGGCCAACCAAGCCTTCCATTCCTCCGGGGTCGGTGAATTAGTACTAGGCTCGTCTGGAAGGATAAAAGCACTGACTTGTACATCGGCTGGCCACCGCAAGTCATTCTAATGGCCACATACGCACTCATTATGCCACTACGATTCTAAATGGAAGTCGAGTGCGGGGGCGCACCCCTCAGACGGGATTGATTAACGCTAAGAACTTTATCCTTTATCCTTTTATCTTTGCCCTTTCTCTGTCTAACTTTTTTACGGAGGCTCACGCGTGTTACCATAAACCGGACCTCAAAGGTTATCACTTAAAGGCACAGTTCACATAATTCCGGGGAATCCAGATTATGATGAAAAATGGAATACAAGGTCGAAACTGGTGCGACTGAGGTGAAGAAACTGCGTGCATAGGTGTTTCCAAATGAAAAAGGCTTCGAAAAAACGTTAAAAAGGGGGCTGGACGTGAATGAAACCAGAAAAATGAAGAAGGGTGGGGCGTTTGGACGAGTTACACAATGTGTTCACTGCGTGCGTGTGGGTCCTGGTGCGAAGAACAGACAATGGTAACCAAAAATTCATTCACTTATAGGCATAAATAAACAAAAAAAAACCCTAGTAACAGCAAAAGTAGCTCACCTCTTTCAGCCTCTAGGAGTAGGAAATCAAAAAAGGGATCGCGGCAGCAAAAAGAAACACAGAGGAAAAAAGAATGGGAGAAAAACATCGCCTCATCACTCGGCGATTAGCTGATTGTGCGTGGGTCCTAGAACGAATAATAGCAATCTGTATTTTCTCGACACTCGTCTAACGTGACACCGATCGAGGGGCGGGCACGCGAACTACGGCAACAACGGAGCTGCCACTATGCCCTGGACGTCGAGATTGGGGGAGTGAGAGGTTCCCTTCTACAACCCATGGGGGCCGCTGAGTATTAACAAGGTAAGAACTCAATAACTTTCTTATCGTGAACGGTGCCTTTAAATGTGTCTACCTAGGTGATGGATTGGAAACGAGGGGTTACTGTAATCCAGACCTTGAATGTTATTACTGAAAGGTGTCTACTTGGGTGATGGATCGGCAATGAACAGTCGGCGAGAGGCTGCTAACTATTAATGGTCGCTGTTATTACATTGCATAAGCCACTCCCTGATGCTTTAGCTCAGGCTGACCTGTGATGACCGGTCGTAATAGATCGTTGATATCGTGGACAGCTGCTGAGCGGCGAGTAGTAAAGGCCAGCTTATTTGTAAAGTATTGTCCCTGGGTCTTGCCTCGAGATGAGCGATTCGAATGGATACAAGTGATTAATAGCAGTCTTTCTCATCTGCTCACTATACGCGGTTCTTGAATTCTACGAGCAGTCCACCGTATCCAGTTACATTGGGGGTTGAGATTAGCTACTTCTCATTTATAAGCATGGTTGCCTGTCAAGGCAGTTCCTGGAGGGATGGAAATGTGACAGAGGGGCTCTTTAAATTGACGTCGTAATGGCGATCGAGTTCTTATCTGGTAATTATATCTTCATTAATATATAAAAACTGAGTTATCGTTAGCTACAATTTGTATATTGTCCCTACCTTCTGGGCTAGCTCCTAAACCAGAACTTTAAATATAGGGTCGTGGTCATACAGAACAATGATTAGCGGTCATTGCCTGTCTCTATGGGAAAAGATGAACAGAAAAAGATTTTATACATATACAGGGTGCGCCATAAATATGGTAACAAAAGAATTGGGCTGCAAAAACCGCAGTTCTTATTGATACATGGTGAACTCATGTGAGTTACTCACTAGCCATCGCATCTACAAGGTAAACGCTTGGTGACCTTATATAACCGTCTCCTGTACTAATTATAGCTCGGAGACGCTTCGGCTACTTATCGACGGTGACACGCCGAGTGTTTTGAAAAGCTCTAGCCCGGGCTTTTTTCAGTGGTTTTTCAGGAGCAGCAACAGTAGTGTGTTTTGAAGCGCAGGTTTTCCTCTCCAATATAGACTATATCCAGCTACCTATGAAATTGGGGTCTGGGAAATTCGTAGGAGGATTGGAAGCTGGGACAAAACCGCGAGCATTTTCCCAGCACCACTCTTGATCTTTTCCCAGTCAAGAGCGAGTGAGCCGTAGTTTTCAAAACATATCACATGAAAAATCTTTGGCCATCAGCTGCAACCTTTCAGAATAACCCTTGTTGAATAGGTTTGGCTTGAATTTCGCACTTTTCTTGTCTAAATTTTGCGATATCGCTCTGATGGTAGAGATATCAGCTCAAACCATCAAGAAAGAGGGAAAATAGCTACGAGCGGCGATCTGACTCACTCATCGGCTTCACCACTCGCAGAGTGAAATATACGTATACTCCAGGATCTCAACATTTTTTTCGCGCTGAACACCCTTTAGTCAGAAACATGTGTGGCGAAGCGCGTGCCGCGCGCGAGTAGCGCACCGTATTTTTTTTCTCTCCACCTTCTTCACGTCGTAAAGCTTATGAGGCCTCCGAATCCTATATGGATACAATGTATGTACTGGGGTTAGTCTCTCCTCATCGGAGTAGAACGTACAATCTAATCAGCAGTCATTTTTTCTCGTGTTTCTGCAGGTTCGCAGCGTACTCCTTCCCGAGTGACTGTATTCGGAAAAGGGGTAGTATGCGAGACAAAACGACCGTTTTGAGGTTCGTCGTTGACCTGTCTACGCATCGCGATACAAGAGACTTTCATGTGGGAAATGTTGAAACGAGGAGGGATTGCGGAACAGGACTCACCAAATGCGCGCAAAGACGTAACGGTTGGTGGATGTCTACGAGGCTCCACCGTTTTTCGAAATCTGACGATTTGAGAGCACCAAAGCAGATATGTGGGCTAAGGTATACTATAAACATAATGGAAGGTGCAGATATGGGAAAACCCTCCAAACAAGGAAATTACCAACGTCCGAAAAATTGTTGCCATATCTATGGCGCACCCTGTATATATATATATGATGAAATTGGGGGATAAGGCTTTTTCTTTTTCTCTTCTCTTTCCAATATAGAGCACTTCCTCCACAACGCCTATTCTACTTTCATTAAATGACTCGTCAACAAAGCTTTAGATCATCTAGAAATTAGCTTTTGACCTTGCCCTTCACGTGCTCTTCCGGACATTATGCGACCAATGAACGCATAGGATCAGCAGCAAGACGTTTCGCTTGTTGAAACTGTGCTTGGGGAAATTAGTATGTACTCAGTCCTCA